CATATTGATGTCTTGTGGCTGTGAAAGTGGACGCAAGATGCAGCTCCATGAACTCATGCGGTGCGAACCACTGCAGCGGCTCACTACGCGCGAGAAGGGATCCGACCGCAATTGCTCCGGCAAGCTGAGCAACATCGAATCCGATTGCTACGCTAGCGAGCCAGAGCCCGCGAGCACGGGCTATTTTGCCCATCCAGATCCACGCTCGATCTACAAGCCCATCGCCGAGCACATCAGGAAAACATGAACCAACGGCGGCATGCGGGCCCGAGCCACGCGCGACCTCCCGCGCCTGCGAGCGGAGCGACGTGCAGGTCTTCGCATGAGTTCGCGTTTATCAAGAATGAAGGACGTGCGCGCGCGCATGAATCCACGTTAGTCTCGACAGCACGCGCTGCGCGAACGTTCGCAACGCGGGGCAGTCCGCGCGGACAGGAGAGGCGCGTTCATGTGAGCGGCAAAACGCGCACGTCCTTTGTGGGCCCCCGTGACTCATCGTCGCTGGCCGCCCGCCCATCTCGCGCGGAAGAAAGAACGACTTTGGCAGCGCATGCAAGCGAAGAGGTCACGACAGCCACGCCCGCCCGCCCCGGCCCGCGCGCTGGCGACGTCGCGGCCGTTCCACGAGCGCTGGAGCAGACGCGCGCGCCACAACCGATCGGCGAGTTCTCGGGCGCCCCCGACGCTTGGGATCTGGGAGCGGCCAGCCAAGACCTCCAACACTTGCAGCAACGCTCTGGCGCGAGAAACGCCGACCGCATAAACCGCCATGGGCTTGGTTGATCTAGCTCGCCATCACGGCGCTCGCCCCGACGCATTTGCTTCGGGGCGAGCGCTGGACTTGGCCCCTGATAGCGATCGGAACGGTAGCAGCCCGCCGGCACTGAGCTTCCTCGGCCAGACCAGCGTTTCGGATGCGCGTTTCGATCGCCGCCCTTTTCGCACACCTTCTCGCCGTGCGACCGAGTCGCCAGCGCGGGCCGACGCGAGCCGCGAAATCGCTGTCGACATGGAAGGAAACGTCCTGGCAGGGAAACCCGTGACCGACATTCTCACGCGCGTTCACCGCGTGCGTTGTTTTGATCGTAGACGGCGCCGTCACCTGCGTTTTAGGCCCATCACGCCTGGGCCGATGCATGGCGCGCCATCATGGGCCTGCGGAGGAATTCGCTCTAGACGGCGCCAGCCGCTGACGTTGCTCGCCAAGTTGGTGATTTGGAAGTTGCGAGCAGCGTCCATCTCTTACTGTGCCTAGAGCCACGACACGCGGAACGCCTTTGCGACCGATGACAATGCGCGCTTTTGAACTGCACATACCTTACGGTGCGACCACGCGCACGTTCTCCAACTTCTCCAGCAGCATCGACGCAGCACAATTGTCCATCGCTTACGCCCAGGCCCCTGCCACCCTCGCGCTTCGGCCAGGCGCGGGAAGGGGTGTCCGAGCGAGCCTGGGCTGTTTCGTGGGATTTTTTTTTCGCTTCGCGTTGGGCTGCGAGCCGGAGACGGCCGCGGTGCAATGGAAGCATTTGCGCGCGGAGCATCCGTTTTCGGACCAAGCCTATCCCGACCACGCTGGCACCTTCATCGCCGACTTGTTTAAGATGTTTGTAGTTCCAGACGGGGCTGCGCGCCAGGCCGACTTGCTAGACGAGATCGGCACTGCTAGTCTATCGCGAGCTCTACGTTGTAGGGCTTACGCAGAGGCACATCAGCAAACAAAGCGCCCTCGCCCACTTCGCGTTCCAAGCAGCCGCTACAGAAGTTGGGCGACGAGTCTCGGCGGGAGCATCGCAGGAGCTTGTCCATCTCGGGGTGAATATACATGCACCTGCACATTCACAGCGCGAACTACACGAGCGATTGCATATGGGCGCCCAGATTTGGTTCGCTCGGGTGATTCTTGTTTCTCCGAAGGGCCATGGGAGGATGAGATACCATGGCTTCTATCCAACGTCGCGGGCAGAGCATGGCCAGATCTTGAGAGCCATACATTAAGCCCTCGCGGAGTAAACCAACAAGACTGCGCGCTAGCAAACAAAGTACAAGCGATACTACTGGGTGCTGCGCACCAGGAGGACCACGAGGGCCAACATCGATCTACGTCGACTCTCCAGGTTTTCAAGGAATTGCAATAGCCCCCCCCCCCCGAAAAAAACGCCCCGCGGAATCCGAACACATTGCGACGGTAATGGCGGTGGCAGAGCATTGTGAATACCGCGTCTCGTTGCGGATTATTTTGGTCGATGCGCTTCCGCGCAGCGGCCGGCCACGGGCAATCGCCCCGCCCCCGCCTCCTCCCCCAATGCGCAGGGCGAGATACACCAGCGCCCCTAGTCGCGAGCGCGCCAGCTGTCAGCTGACCCCGAGCGCCTCGCATCACACTGAAGAGTCCTTTTTGCGAGTTGTGGCAACCGCAATCGATGGAAAGTTCGTGGGCCGATGGGGCTATTTGAGATGCTTTTCTTGGCGCGATCTTCGAACGCTGCGCGCGAGGGGCTCGAGGGCTGCGCAGGGGCATTGGACTCGCCCCGCACCAAGGGGGCCGACGGCAAGAAGATGATGAAAGAGATCAAGCCCCCCATCGCCGTGCGTCGCGCTGGCGGCCCTGGAGGGCACGACGCAGCGCGACATCGACCAACGGCCAAAAAACGATATCGAGGCAGACATTCTCAAGTGCCAATCAGAGGACGACCTCGCGGAGGCAGAGATCAACACTCAGATTTGACGGAGGCCGTCAGTTTCATTCGCTCAGAGAACTGCTTCGACATGCAAAAGGCGAAGGCCATCATAGAAGCGCCGAGCTGGGAAGGGCGCGCCCTCATCGTGAAAGCGCGAACGTCGGAAGACATCACGATCCACCGCCAGGGAGTGGCTCCAGCGGAGTGGCTCGTGGACGAGTTGGGCCTCTTGGCAGGGGCGATCACGGACATCTGTTGCCTGTGGGACTCGCGAGCGGCAGTATATTTCCAGCCATTGCCACCTTTCCCCTAGTGTCCGCCTCGCCCCCCAGCGCGGGAAGCGTCGGATACGTGCCAGCGCATGCCGAAGCCGAGCAGCCTTAACAGTTTTTGATTCGCAGGATGCCGTGAAGCACTTTGCAGACACCATGCCCCGCCGCGAAGCACTCTGCAGGCACCATGCCCCCGAACAGCTTTCGAGAGTTCGCCTCTCTGCGGCGGGCCTAAGGATGTTTTCTCTGATATAAGCGAGTATGTCCGTTTTTGGTGTTGACGCCGAGGGAAATCACCATCATCATCACCACTACCATCGACATCACATTCATCACCATTTTCATCCTCATCATCATCATCATCATCATCGACACCATCATGATTAACGTTTTCCCGGTCGCTCCTTTCACTGTGCCGGCCCACAGTGTATCATCGAAGGCACTTGACTGCATTGTCGCTGGGGCTGGGAAGGTGGTGGGTCGCCGTCGTTCCCTCAAACTTTCGCGTGGAATTCGTTTGGCGGAGAGTCTGTGGCGGGGTAGTTGCAAGCGCATTCGATGGAGCATGCGCCCCACGGAAGTTCTTTTCGGGTTCTCCTGGGATGCCTCTCGTGGGCTCTTGCGTGCAGGCTTCTTGGGGACACGAGGCCTATTGGGGGGCTTTGGGGGGGGGGGGAGAGTCTATTGGGGCACTGTGGGGCTGGGGGGTTCTGGAGGAGTTGGGTCGTTGGGGCGGCATGCTGGTGGTCGCGGAGGCCCTCGTGGGTGTTTTGTTGGGCCATCTTGGGCCCATCTTTGGCCCCAGGGTCGTCTTGCAGCGATCTCGTTGGCCTCTTGGGCCATTTTGGGCCGTCGGCAGCCCAAAGAAGCGAGAACGTTAAAATCGTTCAAGAGCCATACGGCAATCAACAATGTTTGCGCTTTTGGGCCGTCGTGGGGGACCTCGCGGCCCGTCTTGAAGCTATCTTCCTTTCGGGCCGTCTTGAGGCTATCTTGGGGCGTCTTGCAGCGTTACTCTTGGGCTGTTTCGTGGCCCACTGGAGCTCTCGAGGGGCCCTCCTGGAGCTACATCCATTGGGGGTCCTGAAACTCGCAGCAAGGAGCCCCAGCATCTCTGATCCGACGTGCTTTCTGCCTCCAAGGGATGCCCCGGGGCCGCCGCGCGCGCAAGAAGTAACAAGAGTAACATACAAGTACTAGGATGCTATTACCGCAGATTGTAGCACGCCCATTTTGGCCCGCTGAGCCAAGGAATCATGCTCATTGCCCCCCTCGTCCTCTATCCACCTCCCGTACCTCATCACTCCCATCCTCCTCGTCGCCGTGCTCCACATTGTGGAGCCGCGCTCGCACTCACTATTTCGTCACTACTTCTTCAGGCGTGGCGCTCACACCTGATTCTCCATCCTCCTCACACTTCTCCTCACCGTCCTCCGACTCCTAATCCTACTCCTCCTTATCCTCCTCCTCCTCCCACTCCTTCTCCTCCTCCTCATTCTTCTCATCCTCTGCCGCATCGAACTAAAGATGCCGTCCCCCTCCCATCATCCTCCTCATCGTCGCGTTCGTCGTCAAGCCGCCTGTCGCCATGCGACCCGAGTGCGGACTTGGACAGGGCGACCCTCACTCCCCTCTACCTGCTTATTCCATCTCTCCTCTCTCCTGTTCCTTCTGCCGTTCGCTGGATACCGTGCTCCAAAAGCAACTCAGGCGCAGCGTTCCCGCCCCAAGCCTCTGTACAGTTGGCCCAGGAGTCGCGCTTCTGCCACGGCGCAGGCACTTGCCTCCGTCCAGCAGTGGCAGGGGCGCCCCTGGCCCCCTCTCGGAGGACAGCTCGACAGCAGCAGCACCATCAACTACACTCGGGGCCCTGAAGAAGGAACCCTTTTCGTTGGGGAGGGGCTCCGTGTGCCTTGATTGTTTCACAGCTTGCCTTAGGTTTTCCTTAGGTCTTCGAGGGGAAATCGAACTTTGACTGCTGGGAAAAAGGGGCCTCGTTCCTTACTTAGCGTTCCTTGGGTCCACGCCCCCACTGTAGGTCGCTCGGGCCCGGCGCCGCCTTCCCCCCTCCCCTCTGGCCATGCCCTCGTGCGCACGCGCGGGCTCCCCCGCGGAGCGCCCACGGCTCCGGCGTTCGTTGGTTAGTTAGTCCTCGTGTTCGCCCCCCTTTCGCGTATGTTTCGGCTTAAGCTTCGGACCTCCCCCCACAGCACCTCGGGCAGACAGTCCGAAGGAGCCTCGCCCCGTGCCCTTTTCCTCTTTTGCGGCTATGATCGGCGGAGTGCTCGACACGGTGCGCAGCGTGCTCGGCATGGCGCCCGCCTCCTACCACGTGGTCGAGGGCCCAGAGCAGGGCAAGCAATTCGTCTGGGACCACGGGCGCCTCGGCAACGCGGTGGACTCGGAGTTCGTGCCCGAGGGCGAGCGGAGCTCCGAGGGGGAAGATGCACCGCTGCCGCTACCAGTCCTTCGCTTTCGCCCGTCTGGGCCCCTGGGGAGGCCCTCGTCGCCAAGGCTGGGCTCGCCTCGAAAGTCTGGTCAGCGCGCACCCCAGAAGAGGCCTGGGAAGCAGCGGGATCGGCACCCTCTTGCCCAGGAGCGGGGACGAGCTCGAGGCGCTGGCGGTGCCGCCCATGGAGCTCACCGCCACGGTCCCCGAGAAGCACGAGGAGGGCGAGAAAGTGACGATCGCGGGGCCCCACGGCCCCATGGAGGTGGTGCCACCCAAAGGCTCGAAGCCCGGGGCGCCGTTCACCTACCGCCTCACCCCGATGTTCGAGTTCCGTGTCGAGGTGCCCCCCGGGGCGAAGCCGGGCTTGCAGATCGAGTGCACGCGCAGGGACGGCGTCAGGGTGGCGATCGGCGTGCCCCCGAACCTGAAGCCGGGGGACTTCTTCGAGGTGCTCCCTCCGGCCCTCATCGTGAGGGTCCCCGACGACGCCAAGGCTGGGGACCTCGTTGTCTTCCGCCCGGTCGTCGCCCCGGGCGAGCAGCTGCCCCCCCACATCGCGCGCAGCTGGATCCGCACCCGCGTGCCCGAGGGCCTGGAGCCGAAGCAGTACTTCCCCGCGCGCCTGCCGGTGCCGACCGCCGCGCCCGCGGGCGAGGCCGAGGGGGCGGGCGCCCTCGGCTCCGTGCGCAAGCTCTTCGTGCCCTCGGGCGGCAGGTCCGCCCCGGGGTCGGAGGCCGAGGCCAAGGAGCCGGGCTCCTCGGCGGACAAGGCGCGGCCGCGCGGGGGGTCGGGCGGCGGCGGCTGTGCACAGCCGCTGCTCCCTGGCTGGGCCCATGCTGCACCCAGGAGCTGTGTGTGTGTACCCAGGAGGGAACAAAAACACGCGGACACAACGGATCGTCGATCCCCCCGAAGGTGTGGGAAAGTACGGGAAGTGGGGGGGAGACAAAAGCCCAGAAGATACGGGAAAATATAGGGGAATCCGCTTATTTGTGACTATTTCTTTGTGTGTCCCAGGGCCCCTTCATGTACGCCCTCCTGGCCAAGCCAGGAGAGCGTGGCGTATGCTCCGCTGCCGTGCTCAGGACGGGCCTGGCCAGGGAGCGGCGGGTGTGCATCGATGTCGCCGCCATGTAAAAGCGGGGCCCTTCGCCGCAGTGGCCTTTGGCGCGGGACCGCTGGGGTCCCCCGACCGCAGGTCGCAATGCAATATCATTGAGTCGGGCTTGTCCCTGTACAAGGGGAATCTTCGAAAATTGTAGAAACATAGTCTGGGGACGACTTGTTCGGATTTTGTTTCTGACTATTTCCGAGCATCTGTTTACCACTTTTATTTTTCGACCAGAATCCCCCTGTAGGGTTAAGTCGGGCCCGTCCCTCTACAAGAGGAAAATTCAAAAATAGTCTACAAATGCTCTGGGGACTATTGTCTAGTATCTTTCGACAATTTTGGAGCACACCTGTATTTTTCGTCGACAATCCCCCTTGTAAGGGGGACGCGCCCGACTTACATGTGGAGAGACACGCCCGACCTAACGCTTGGGTCTGGCCCCCCTCCCCCCCCCTTGGGCCCCCGAAGGCCCGCGCGCCAGAGGCCCCCTCCCTGCGGCAAGCACCCCTCTGCGCGCCGCCGGAAGGAGGGCACCGCGCCGCTGCTCGGGAAGGAGGAGATGAGCGTCGGCGCGTGAGAGGGGGGCCCCCATGGAGTTCCCCCCCGCGCGCGCGGGAGGAGGAGGGCGCGGACGCGGATTCCTTTCGGGGATCAGCTGTTAAATTTGGAACGATACGGAGAAGATTCGCATGGCCCCTGCGCAAGGATGATTCGCACAAATCGAGAAGTGTGTACAAGTTTTTGGATACGTCCGAGGAGGGCGCGGACGCACCGGGGAGGCGGGAAGAGCAGGTGAGTCGTGAGCCAAGGGGGAGGGGGGAGGGGGAGGAGTGGGGGGGTGGAGGAGGAGGGCGGGGAGGACGAGGAGGAGGAGGAGCAGGAGGAGGAGGGGGTGTTGATTACAACGACGGTGATGGGGGTCAGGAGAGTTGTACTTGTTATTGTTACCGAGCGTGCGTCGCGATCGACGCCGTTCGGCTCAAGTGATTGTTCGTGAATGTTCGTGTTGGGCGGATCGGTCTGGGAAGACATCGGTGTCGTTCCCGAGGCTACCTTCCCCGAGGATTTGCACGGTAGCGGAGCGAGGGTATGAAGGGGCTACGTGAAGGAGACGGGTTGCATGCATACGAAAAACACAAGTGGCATTGGGCAGCTACCGGCGTTACCCTTGTCAGCTAAGATGAGCTTGGCCATGGGCCTGGACAAACCCAGAAACATCGGGGACATGGCATCGCAGTTAGAGCGGTCGTCAGTGGAGACGTTGGAGAAGCACGGACCGACGTGCTCGTTGAACCTGCCGTTCCGCACCACCGTCTAACGCACCATCATGTCACATGCGGATGACCGATTCGAGGAATGGCACCAGGAATAATTCAAAACTCTTGACTCGTGAACACAAGAGAACTATCAGACGCTGCTTGTGGAATATGATGATCGGACCAGAGAAAAGTTGGACGCGGACGCGCAGTGGTACGGCGCCGCGGACATCGGAGGTTTGACAACGTTCACGACGACAAATGGGACGGTGAACGCGAATGGAAAAGTGCAGGTCACGTCGACGACAGCGGCAATTCGTGGCCAGAGGAACAGTGGTACTAGTGGGACCAGCAAAACATGCAGAAAATGCAGACTGAAGTACCGCGGGCAAGGGGAAAAAAGCAAAGGGACAGGCCCCAAACGTTACAAGGGTGGTCGATTCGGGCACATCGCAGTCAACAAAGGCAAAGGTAAGAAGGGAAAGCCAGTTACAATGGAGGCAGCCGCATTACGCACGGCAAGCAGTCCAATGGCAAAGGAGGTCACGGAGGCAAGGGGGGCCAAGGAGGAGGCGAAGGACAAGGAGGCTGGGGAAACGGGCGTTCTGTTCCAGTCTCTGAGAGGGAACGTCACGCCCAACTTGCAGCCAATTGCACAAGAGGGAAGGCGCGAATCAGGTCGAACAGCCGCGGAGCGGACAACATAATGCAACAACGCCGAGCATCTCACCAGGGCAACCTTCCCGAGTAAGCAAGGAATAAGATCCCTCCGAGCAGCCGGGACGAATGTCAAACATAGCACCACCACACAAGACACGAGAATACAAGGGGGAGGATCAACCTAAAGAGCAGTTACCAACACAGGTGCGGAGAGAACTGCGTGCGTCGAGCTGGCTTCGGCGCCAAGGTCAAAAAGTGCATCGAGCACGAGAAAAGCTGGTTCGACAAGTCTGCGGAAGTGCAGTTCGTGGAGAGACCGGGCGACGCTCTTGAAGTCAACGTTGTCCTTCAAAATCAGCGGGAGTATTGCTTCGAAACGGTGGCGGTCACACTTGACTCTTGTGGGGCCACCACACGGTGGCTCATACTTCTCCGTTAACCCCACTGAGGGTTAACTGTCAAACAAGCTTTGCGCCGCCGCCAACGGGCCCGTTATGCGCAACCTCGTTCAGCGAGCGATCAACGGCATAAGCGAGGCAGGTGCTGAGGTAACCATGCCCGTTCTAGTGTTGCGGATGTTAGCAAGGTGATCGTGTCGGCCAGAGTGTTCTGAGACGCCGGTAACCGACTGGTGGCGGGCAGGGGCGAGCACGAAATGTCTTGCCGCTATGCTACTTAGCATGAAGTGTTCGGGGACAGTACAGATGTCAAGGAGACAGGGTGTACGTTCCAATCCAGCATTGAGATGCGATGAGAAGGGTCACCGGGCGCAGGAAGTCAATCGGAGCATGGGTTGTCCGGCGCAGGGGGCCCCGGCAGAAGACCATCTACAAGGTCCTCGCCAACCCGCGAGCCCCATTCAGGCAGTGGCCATTTTTGGAGCCAATGAAACAAATGATTAAGATGACGGGGGCAGTGAGTTGAGCGGCGCAGAGGGTACGTTTGCGGGCGAGGAAGCGGAGTTACCCAAGAAGCACAATGCGACGCGAGACCAAGCGGGGAAGAAGTGGAGTTAAATCAGTTCACCTGCATCATCGAAGACGAAGACGGTGCCCCCCGTTGCGCTGGGGGCAAGGCCAGCAGGCGCAAGCGCCGAACAAAAAGCACGGGGACAAGAGGATAATCCCCACTGGTCGCAGTCGACTACGCGCGGCTGAAAAGGGCAAGAGAGGAGACGGCGAGGACGAAGAGAAAGGCAACCCACATTGGTGATGCACTGCCGTGTAACAAAACGAATTTGGAGAAAGGTAGTTGTTTTAGAGGGACTGGGGCCCTGCTCAGGTCGAGTAACGAGCCATTCGATTGTTTTCGCTGGCCACAGAAAAGTGTTTGCTAAGAGGGACGCAGTTAAAACCTCACGTTATCTGAACATGGGGGTGCAGCCCCGCTGGGGCCGCCATGTCGAATGGTGAATTCAAAAGGGCCATCAGAGCAGCGCTAGGACGACGTAGCACCATGAAGGTTGCGCTTGACAACAGATGCAGAGCTGAACTTGGTGAAGGTCACGCGCCTGTGCCACGGTTAGCATCGCGCGCGTCGTCGCCAATGAGCGCGCTCGCAAACGCCGCCGACGGACAGACGGCCCACGAGTGATGCAGCGGCAGAAATAAGAACAGACAGTTGCCCGAATTTTCGGAACGCGCGCTGCTTCGCAGGACTCCGCCCGAGAAACGCGGTGGAAAGTTGGCCCAGGCGAGGCAGCGGAGCGCGCGCCGGCATTCACGAGGTCAGTCGCGAACAAAACATGGGAAAGTCGCGAGGAAGCGCGCGAGCCAATGAGATCAAGAGAAAGGGGGGCGAAGGGGGGAAAGGCGGGACATTGTGGAAATTATTGCCATGCAAGGTTCACCGCGGCAACCGGATCCCCGCTCGGCGGGCTACGCTGCGAAGAATCTCGCCAACACGTCCGTGCGTAGATTTTCCAGCGGCGAAGATGCGGTGGCAGACGCGGAACCATTCGTCGCCAGAGGAAGTGCTGCTTCGAGGTCAGAATATCTGGCAGCGGGGCCCATTCCTGGGCGCCATGGACGCAGGGCCCTGGTTGGGGGAGATGCGGTAGCGAGCCCTGCAATCCCGAGCCGCTGGAGGCCCGGGGCAGAATTGACAGAGACCTGGGTCTTCAGGGACAAGAACGCAATCGTGCGACGCCGAACTCCGAGGCAGGAGCTGCGCGCCCGCGGCGCAGCCCCCGCTGCTGAGAGGGGGCGGGGCGGGGGGGAGGTCGACGCGCGGAGCAGCGCGAGTTAGAAGATGATAGGCGCCGGGCTGGACCTCGAATGCGAGACGAGGAGCGCCCTGGTTGGGCCGAATCATTTCTGCCCGGGGAGTGAGATGGACAAAGGCATGCCGGCGCCGAGAATTCCACCGCCGCCCTCAGCCATGCACCGGGGGAAACCAGATGACATAAGCGGCGACGTCGACGCCGAAGACAACAACAAGGAAATACCCAAGCGTTAGAGCAAGACGACGATAACGGGAGCGAGGCCAAGCCGGGGTTGGACATGTTGGGTTTACTGACGAGGTTGTTGTCTGGCCAGTAAAAGCGGCGTCGATCGCAATCAAGGACTCGAGCGACATCCGGCGCGCAGACAGGTTGCGCGGCCAAGGGCAACGCGCGGCACATGTGCAGCGCAGCTAGGTACACACGTCGGAGTAACCGGTTCGGCACAGAAAATTGGATTGATACTTGGGTTAGCAATGGATCGGACCACGCCTGACTAATTCGGCTACCCCCGCGATTTCAACAACGAAGGTACGCGGGGCAAAGCAAAGAAGATGAGGAGCAAAGCGGCACCATCGTGAGTAATCAGCCCAATGCCCGCGGCTTCGGGTTGACCCCAGACCTTCCACATTAAGGTTCTAGTCGACCAAAGAGTGAAAGAAATCTTGGAACAGGGACTTCGGACTGATGCCATGGAACTCAGTGAAATACAGGGGGGGTGATGTTTATTTCTCGTGCGTTCATTTGGAGCCACGACTTGGAGCGCGGCTTCAGCGCAGACGTTATTTCGGCCACCCGAAGTCGATGTATACGAGGGAGGCATGCGCCGATATGGGATGCGGTTAGAAAAGAGGAGCTCTTTTTGGCGAAGATGCACGCGCGGCCCACGACCAACAGTGCTCATATAGGCCGGCAAGTTTGCTGGAGGTGCCAATGGCAGCGCCCACGCGTGGAATTTGCGGGAGGAGATCTAAGATATCAGATTTATACTCGGATCGACTAAGCAAGGCGACATGAAAATGCCGTTTAAACAGATGAGGGAAGATGAAAGACACGGGTGCTCATTCAAAGCAGATGAGGAGGAAGGCGCACGCATCCACGAAGTACGGTGCGCCGATGATTCGGGCTATGGCGAGTTGGAATGGACACGCGAGGACCATTGCATCACCAGACTGATGTCACAATGTGAGCATGTACCAAAGTGGGGCCAGTGTGCCCGACGAGCAACGCGAGACCTAGACGCTCGAAAACAGACCAGTCAACCAGATCACCGGACGTGGAAGGAGCCGAGAATTCCAAGGTGGGAGCGCCGATAATGCGGACGCGTTGGTTGGTGAGAAACGCTAGGCGCGCGCGAGGCCCGTGGTGCTATCGAGACAGTTGGACCCCTGGAGCGGGAACCCATACTTGTTATTCACCACGAGACGGACGGAGGGTGCACCCATGAGATGACGTGTCAGGGGCGGAGTTAGCCGCTGACTTGGCTTTGGAAGCCAGGTTCGAGGAAATGGAGCAGCGCTACACGCATGGGGGTCTGCGATAAGGTGGAG